CTGTATGGTTAGTATGGGTACAGTCTAGATACTGTAGCAGTGTGGAAAGAAAATACAGTCTGCTTCTACTTCCTATTCTATACCCCTCTTTTAATTTAACCAAATATTGATGGTCCGCAGGTCTTTTTTGGGAAAGAGAGCGAAGACTGGGGGGGGGGGGGGAGGGGTAGAGCGATAACATCTTTTTCGAAAAGGGCGTGGCGTTAGCATGCGTTGCAGTACGGTCACGCCTTTAAAAATATTCTCCAAATTTCAAGTTTTTTAAGCGATTTCCAAAGTTTATTTTGTCATTTGTGAAAAAATTTTGCACAGTTTTTTACTTAGCTAACCCAATTCTGAACATTGAAACTCAATACTAAAGAAGAAGCTTGTGGGGGGGGGGGGGGAGGAAGAGAGGTCCCTCGCAACCAATTTGAAAAATTCATTTGATAGCAGTGTTCAACATCCTTTACGTAAGACATGTCCATTTATACAAGACTGAAGCGATTCGCACGACCGTAATGCAGCCGGAAAATTTCCATACGGGACCGCCGTTGCGCGGATTTGCTGCGTGCGTGACGTGTTAAAACAAGTCACGCCGTGTGAAAAGGCCGTCTCCATATGAAACGTGGCTACAATTTCGTTTTGTTTCAGCTGTTCCCCCTCTCCCCTTCCCTCCCCCCCCCTTCTTCCGCTGTTCCCGCGTTTCCTTATCTCATGCAGTAAACTTTCACACAGTCCACATTAAGCCTATAGCATTACACTGAATCCATGACAAGCTTGAGAAAAACGAATAAGCGGGTTTCTTATTATTTGTATCTTGGCAACAGGTGCTTCTTATAAGCAAAAACCATGCGAAGCATCTCATTCGCTATAAATGGCAATAACATGCTTAGGACATCGCTTGTGCTGCTACCGTATCCACGAAGCATTGCCTGTCCTTTAAAGGGGAAATATGTGCAGTGCACTTGGTAAATGCAGAAATAAGCAGCGAAGTCAAAGAATATCTCCAAAAATAGCCGTAAATCCAAGGAAATCATCAAAAATACGTCGGGTAATCAACTTGCCCCGCCCCGGATATCTGCCACAAAATATGCTCTTCAACGTAGGAAATCTGTACCAGTTGTCCAAGCATGCGAGCTCTATCGCGGAATAGCGTCTTCAGTCCCATCATTGAGCAGTTTGCCCATAACTCGACGCGACTTCACGTCGTAAGACATATTTAGCCATGGCAGACACTTAATAGCGCTTCTGCTCATGAAACCATGCAGCAATTGCACTCTGCGCCTCGCCATGACGTCTGCGCGTTTACTCTAACTGGTGTTTGTAGTGCAACTGCACAAAATTGGAAATGAGGACAGTTGGACTTTTAGTGGAATTTGATAGTGGAAGCAGATGCGTACTGATAAAAATATTGATTTTTTCAAGGCTTATTTAGCAAAAATAGGGCAAGAATAATTTTGCTTGACAAATTTATTTTTTCACTTTTTTGACAAGATTAAGTCCTCTGGAAGAAAATTGGAAAGTTGGCTCATGTAAATCATGGATTTTAGATGACAGCGTTTATAGTTCGTCTTCTTTTCTTGTATTGTGTGCAAATGCACCATTTGTGCTAATTACTAGCAGTGGAACCTTTCCCTGTAAGAAGTTCCGGTTTCAACTGCAATTCTTATTCTTCCAGCTCAGACAAGGCTTCCTTTTCTTCCCTTTCTCCAAACCTCCCACATTTCTCCCTACTTTTTCCCCGAAATTCAATTTTGCTTCAAAGACCTGAGCTGCCTAACATAATCAGTTCATTAGCACTTCCTAGCTTTCCGAGGACAAGTTTTCGGCGAAAAAAAGTGCCGATCGATTTTTCCGTTTTCCCAAGTTCCTAGCTGCAATTCGTTGCCAACGCGAGAAACATGTGTCTGTCTCTGTGTGCAAACTAATGACGTTTGTGTCATTTGCACTTTTCGCCAAGTTTGGAGCTGAGAAAAAGTTGTTAACTCTGGTTTTCGAAAGATGGAAAGTGCACAGGGTGGGCTAATTATCTATGGAATAGCACATAATGTAGATTGGTTTTGGTGAAAAGAGTTCATAAAAAAATAATTTTCTCCAGCCCGTCGTGTGTAAATAATTGTTGTAAGCGTGAAGGCAAAAATTATACCTTTGAAACGCTGGAGCACACAAAATTACAAGACTTCGGGGATACTGAAGTTTAGGAGAGGAGTGGGGGAAGGGGCAGAGTGGGAGCCAATGTGTGAAGGTAGATTTATTAGTTCATTGCGTTTGATAACAAATAGGTACCGTTAATGTTAGAAATTATTTCGCAAAATCGCTAAAAATTGTAAGAAGGGGTGGAGTGGGAGCCGATATGTAGAGCTTGGTTAATATGCTCATCGGTCAAGTGACTTCAGTATTCATATAGGTGTCATAAATCGAAATTATTCTGCAGTATTTGTAAGACTCGCAGAATATCAAAAGTTTCAAATCTCTCCCTCCCCCTTCCGCGCATTTTTCGAATTGCTAAAACTTTGTAATGTCGATAGACTGCTCACTACACAAATTTTGCTAAAAAGCTGTTTAAAATAAGACTGACAATTCCCGCCTACCATTGAATGATTTTTATTTTTTTTATTCCTCCCCCCTCCCTCGTTTCGCCCCATCAAATTTTGATATTTCGTAGGATCAATCATTGAATTGGGCATGCATTCCTTAGGCTGCCTCCATTTTACGTAAAAGTAAAAATAAGGATTTAATTGAATTGATCTGAGCATGTTAATTTTTTGTATTAAATCCTTCAAATTCGATAAAACACCCATGCGGACCAGTTCAACCAAACTACGATGCTTCAGAAAAATTCAATGAGATCTTTCTTGAAATTATGGAAAAATTCTACTTTTTGCCTTCTCCTCCACCCCTTTCAACTCTACCAGAAACTTCCCATGTTGTTGCGACAGCTCCAGCTTTGCGCTTGAGTAATTTAGACGAGACGCTCTCGAGATGCGATTACATAGGGATTCTCACATATCTTATGAGGGGCACACACCAAGAACGGAATCGGGCTCAGCCCCAAGGCGACGGATTTAGTCGTGATCGCATTTGAAATGCATAAAGTTTAGGGGAGATTTCGATTGGAAAAGTTACTTTGAAGAAAGAAGTGAATAAATGCCATGATCCATTTTTCAAATGTAGTTACTTGATTGCAAATTTTTTTAAATCTTTAGTTCTATTAGTGCAAAATTGAACTCATTTGCTAATTTAACTGATATTACTGGATATTCACGTTTGTTAACAAAAATGTACCGGAACGTTTGACGCAGAATCTCCACTATTTTGAATAAAAACTTTAATCAATAATTGCACGGAAATATCTCATGGCTGAAAGTACTAAGGTACTAATAAAATTATCCCGCATTAGAATTTGTTAAATGATTACCCCCCATTAACTCTCCTTTTCAAGAAGTTCTGGGAAGCTACCTTTGAGACTAATAAACGAAAATGAGTTTGTATGAATCTTATATGATTAAAAAATTCTTATATAGTCTGCGCAGATTTTTTAACAACTTTCAGAGTCTTTTTCTAGAAATTTCTAGAATTTCTAGTATTTTTAAAATGTCAAAAAAATTTTATATTCCGGAGATGGACAGCAGGAAAAACCCGGAAATAGGCAAGCATTTTCATGTTGACAATCTGCCACTAAAATTCTGTATAGGAATTTTCGGGGAATTACAGTAACCCAGTCACAAGTGCTGCTTCAAATTATCTTGTCTTGCAAAAAGGCGAAATAAAACTATGAAAATCCAGGATTTCCAAAAATTTGGAAATTATCATACAATTTTCATATCTTTAGTATAAATTCATTGATGTCATTTTCATGCAATCGTGAACAAAATCAAGTAAATAAAACTGTATCAAAATTACTGCTTACATCAATAAATCCAATGTTTTTCAAGTAAGTTTCTGGGAATTTTCTATTTATGACCTTTGATAAACCTTTAGTGTCCTTGCTGAATCGTTAACATGCATGTAAAATGAATAATGGATAAAATTGATAAAAAAATTATCGATTGAATTGGCTGACTCAATATTTTTCAAGCAAGATTGCTAATCGAAATACTACTGACCATAGAATAGAAAAAAATAAATAGAATAAAAATGGAATAGAATAAAAAAAGAAAAAAATTATTATCAATACCTAAAGCGTCCTGGTATTCTTGTTACAGGTAAAAATTATTAATTTAGAATAAAAATGCCTCCCAAATTTACCAGTAGTACAAAATCTTTTTCAAAATCGATCTTTTGCACATGGAACTCATGCGCTCCTTAATTAGGCATAGAAAAAGAAAACAGAATGATCATATTTCCATCCGGTTATGAGCTCGACTAAGCTCGTTATTACTGCATGTTGACGACAGAATTGGCTTTGGAAGCTTGCTTTTGCTTGTTCGAAATAAAACAAGTGATTAATAAAAAAGATTTTGAAAAAATTATTTGTAAGTTTTTTTGCACGTGGAAAAAGAGGCGGAAAAATTCAAAAAGCCTTGTTTTTTGGCGAGAAACAACGATGTCGATAGATGTGACTTGGCTAGGCGGATGTGTACATGAAAGATTCATAGCCATTTCTTATTTGACATGAAATGGTGTGGGAAGACAAGGAAAAATGTAGAATCTATAATTTTCGATTCAAGTAGGAGCACAAGGAAATTTGTGGAAAATTAATGGTTTTTCAAGCCAAGAGACGGAGCGAATGTAGCTGAAATGCATGAATTTGTAGCAGAGTGTGCAAATGACAGGGCAGAACATGACGTGGAAAAAGGAAAAAAAGGAAATGAACAAAGTTTTTTTTCTGACGTGACCATCCCGACAGTGACAACACGAAATCAAAATCATTGAAAAACACCGGAAATTCCATGAATAGGGCGCTAATTGGGCTTCTTGCTTGCAGCCCCATGGGGAGAGCTAAGGCTGCAAGCGGGCTCAAATTGCGCGGAAAAAAATTATTGGAAAATTTCGAAAAATGTGAAAAATTGACTCACATCGATTGGAAACTTTAGGAATATCCAAATTTAGCAGAACAGCTTTAGAAGGGTCCGGCTCATCGTCGGGCATCGCTTGAATGGTAGCTGACGACGTTCTCGGTTCGACCGCCGTCGCCGACGCCGCCGCCGGCAGAGGTGGGGGGCGGTGCGAAGGCTCATTTGGGGACGTGAGACCGTAGGGACTAGTGGGAACTTGTCGCGAGCTGTCCGAACCTGGTCGAAATCCGCAAAAACACCATAGGGAACGTTTTAGGTGAATAGGGCGAATGAGGGGAGTTGTAGCAGTGGATGTGGTAGGTAGGGGACCGATGGGTGGTACGGGAATCGGCCCATCAGTCCCCGAAGTTGCCCGCTTTGGCGACACTTCTGGGTAGCTCAGGGTCCAGCAGAAATATACCTAGCCGGAAGCGGAATACGCTCACAATAGCTTAGGTCCTTGACCTACTAGCGCATACGGACGGTGCAGAGACAACACGTCCGGAAATGGGTGGAGCTAGAGCCCTTTAGGAATGTCTAGTTGACATTATGTAAACGGCCGCTATTTGAATGTGTGTGTATGAAGGGTTTACGATGGCTGCCAGCCACTATCCGGGGAGGAGCCCGCTCTCCGGATGCCTTCGCTCCTGACCCGCCCCCTTATAGGATTGACTCTGCCTGGAGATGGCGGGGGGGGGGGGGAGGGTTCAATAGGTGCCTCTTTTTCCTATCAGGAAGCGCAAGAGGTGATGGTATGGCGGTGTCCTGGCAACGTCTTAGGGCGATTATCCCTAGGTGCCGTAAAAATAACAGGATATAGTTGGCGCATCCTAGGAGACGCGGAGCTTCAAATCTATTGCAAAAAATCTCTGAAATTCTTCCAAAGTTTCATCCCTTGGAAAACCCTAGAAAAAAAACCCGTGCATTTATTCCTTAAGATGGTAACTAACCCTCGCAATCTTAGAACATTATGATTTCAAGCGGAAACAGCTGCTTGAACTTTTTTCCAACTTAATTCGCATAAATTAAAACTCGAACCTTTTTTGTTTATAGAAAAAGGGGTAAAGAGGAAAATGGGGGCGAGATGAGGGAGGGGAATAGGAGAAGAAGGGGGTGGGGGGGGGGGGGAATGAATGGAGATAAAGACCATTTGAAGGAAATGTTATACTTTACAAAGTTTGGACAAAAATAACTAGAGCTTATGCTGGAGATCCAAAAATTTGACCGGGGGGGGGGGGAGACGAAAGAGAACAGGTAACGGAGCCCATAAATTTATATTTAGCTTCACAGATTCGGGCTAGAATCTGATCTATTTTCTTGCCCCCTCCCCGTTTCTCCCGTAAACATTCCTGATTCCGCAAATTTTAACTTTTTTCTAACTCCCCCAAATAACCGCTCAGTGTGAGGTGACGAAGAATGAAAGTTTTATGATATGTCATAAACACGACATTCCCAATGAAAAGCACTTTTTTATTTGTGGGCATAAAATCATAAAATTTTATGAATCATGATTTCATGAAATCAAATTATTCTTGCGAAATACATTTTCAGGAGGCTGACTAAGAGACGAATAAGGTGAATTATAAAAAAAAGAGAAGCTGAGAAAAAAATGAGAGAAACAAGAAGGAAAACATAGAGATGCTAAGAAAAAGATAGAGAAGTCCCACGTCAAGTCCCACGCAACATCTATAGACATCGTTGCTGAGAAATTTCTCAGTTCCTTAGGTGACTTCCGATTTCTCACACATTGAGGCATTTTTTGTGCTCTGTAGCTAAGTTAAGTTGATTACAGAAGTAAAAAGAATAGGTTGAGCTTACTAGAGTAGAATTCATCAAACAGAATAACTTTTGCCTGGAAAGACACGAAGATATGTATATCCTTAGAGTAATGGCGCATAATCTTTCTACTCTACGAATTTTCAAAGCCTAAAAAATTGTAATTTCATTGCGAGAATTGGAGTCTATTCGTTTCGGAAATTGTTGTAGCTTACTGATTATATTAAAAAGAACAAAACTCGGGTAGTTTTGCAAGCTAGAAGGGAGCAAACAAATAACATTCTTGGAGATGAAAAGTAATACCTATGAATATAAGCTGAAAGGTTTTTAATTTTTTCAGTTTCTTACGCTTTGAATTTTTATCGACTTTTACAGGAAAATTTGGAACTAGAGCAGTTTCCTGTTGCTTCGATCCCAGTCAGCTTTTCTCAGTTGAAAGTTCGCTTGGGTGCTTTCACAAAACGCGTGTTCTTTTATTATTTATTTTTATAATTTGTTTTTTTTCTTTTATTATTTTTCATTCTTTAGATTAGCTGAAGAATTGTGCAATTTGCGAGATATATCGATTCATTTTTTTAGAAAAAGGTGCAATATAACTTTTGTGGGAAGTCTTCTCCTATATTTCACACCTTTTGGTTTTCCTGAGTTCAACCCGCATTTCATTTCGTTGCCTCTTTCCCAAACCAGTCGAGATTGAAAGCTTTTACCTGCTAGCTAAAACTAACTGGATTTTCCCACTATTATGTACCGAACAGCCCGTTAGAGAATTTTTTGAAGTTCTCCAAGCAAACACAAATGACGATTGACGTAGGTGTGTAGGCCTAGGCCATGATTAAATATCTAGAAACGAAGCTTATGTACATAAGCTCAAGATTCTTGCAGCAATAACTGCAAACGGAGATTGTGATTGATTTGGAAATGAAATAAAGTGAAGAGGGGGGGGGGGAGGAGGAGGAGTCTAACCTTTTTCAAGGTGGAACTCTAGCTAAGGGACCTTTGTCAGGTTGTCCCAAAAGTCAACATTTTCGTAAATTAAGCTGTTTGTGGTTGATTTGGAAATGAAATAGGGTGAAGAGGGGGGGGGGGGGGGAAAGGAGGAGGAGTCTAACCTTTTTCAAGGTGGAACTCTAGCTAAGGGACCTTTGTCAGGTTGCCCCAAAAGTCAACATTTTGGGTAAATTAAGCTGTTTTTGTTTACCGAGCAGACTAAGGGCACCATCCGATAGAGTAAAGCAAGCTTTACAAAAAAAACCACCAAAGATCTATGTAATCCGAGTTAGCTACTTCAGGATTTCCTTCCAGAAAGTTCTCACGGAACTCCAACTTGGTATCATACAGTAGACAATAGTAGTAGCCAAAAATGCAACTACTGGATCTTTCCCAAGATACAAATTTAAGAAAAAAATAACCCGACGATGCAAACATTTCAACGAGGGCGCATACAGAGGTATAACTTTATAGCTTTATTCACCAAGACCTATAGTATACTATCACATTTGTGGGAGTTGATGGGGGAGGAGTTTGCCATTTTTGGCTAACTTTTTTTATCGATTTTTTTGCGCGGAAACAATGTGATAGTATACTATAGGTCTTGGTGAATGTCCTGTGAATGCATTTCTGATTACCAGTCTAGTCGATCCAGTATGGTCACTGACCAAATTGGAAGTTAGTAGGGTTTTCCTGAAGAGTTTCGACTCCAAAGTATGAAACCAAATTTATTGGGTCCAAATGTTACTGACTCACGAATCGGATGGATCCTGGTGGTCATTTTGTCAAGCTTGCTCCACTGTATGAAATGGAACCTTAAATTCTGCCATTCATCTTTGTTCTAATTGTTTTTTTTGTTTGACGTTCAGAACTAGTCTTAACAAAGACTCAACTGAAGAATCAAGATTTATTTCAGAACAAAAGTAGGGGAGTTTACATTTACTGTGGGTCACCTTATATTTGAAAAAATCTGAGTAATAGAAGAAGATCCACAACTGGAATAATAGGGAGGGAGCTACATTGAATCTGTAATAACAAATGAATATTGATTCAATCAAGAGCTGGTTTTGATTTATAAAATACCTATTAATCATCAGAATTCTCTGTCATTGTGAAAAACAACTATTGAATTTTCAATTTCCGGGCTATTCGTTTTCTGCGAATTAAGACATCAAGATTACATGCAAAACAAAGTTTAAAGCAAAATAAATTATCTGCGCACAAAAGAAGTGTTTTCTATGTCTACTTGTTCCGAAATTCTTTTGGTTTACCCTAATGTTCCAAATATAATTCCTTTTTAGAACTCTATGATTATTATACCTATAGCCAATTTTCATATCTTCTTTCACTTTACTTTTTATCATTCCACGCACCGTTCAAATCAAAGCGTTTAGTTCAACAAAGGTGTCTAGAAGTAACATAAATGCATCCTGCTCTAGATAGAACCGCCTCCTTCCAAGTTGCTGGCTGGTCCTGCGCAAAAACCTGCGAAATCGAAATACCCCGAAAGAAGGGAGAAAGATTTCGAAGTGTAGCGTTTCTTCTCGGTTTTCAGAAGTTTCTTCTGCTTTTGCTGTTCGATTCAATTCTTCTTCTTTAGTTCTTTAGACAACCTTCACTTTTTAAGGAGACAAGGTTCCCAGAGAACCTTAATTTGCAGTGCCTATTTTTAGGCTAACGAAGAAGATATGGCCTCCATTTCTACAAAGTCAGTTATTAGAGGAAGGTGCACCAATACTTTTGCAGATTCCAAGCTCGAAAGTGACTCATGCTCTCTCAAAAAACAACTTGTCCTCTCCTTCACCCTAAAAATTCCCTCAGTTTACTTAGATTTGAACCTTCTTCCTTTTTTTCTGTCATTCCTGTTCGACCGTTCAGTGAGCTAAACGAGAGTTAAAATTTCGTAAACATTGGTGTTTTGGAGCAAAATAACGTTAAAGCACTTTTATTGCTGCTGTTTAAAATCATAATATTTTATTAGATTCAACGTTACATGGGAAGTATGCACGCACAGTTTCTGAGTGTAAAAAGTTGGGGGGAGGGAGAAAGGGAGAGGGGAGGATACTGATATTTTTTTCAATAAACAAGAGGATACTGATGTTTCTTCTACTTTCTTCCCTGTTGCTAGAACTGGACTCCGCGCTAATTGTCAATAAAGCATGTAGTACCTCACGTGCTAAGTGTTATCATTTCCTTTGATGGTGGTAAGGTCTACTAAACTTGTATTTTGTTAAAGCAATATGCCAATTTTGAATTCTGTCTCCCATAACCCACACAGTGCGTTTTGAAAAAAAATTATAAGCGATTCTATTGCAAAGAAGTCTGTGCTATAATAGCAAGTCCAGATACATGACGCTGGCTGTTTGACTCATTGGTGGGTCAACTCATAAAAATTTAGAAGGGCAGGGTAGACGATTGAAAATGAGCACGAACATATGTATAAATTCTGAATATGGTATATTTTTCGTGTAGTCGAGCTTAGCACTTTGCACACATGATTTCTTTGCTAATATATATGATTTTTTATGCAAAGACTGGCATTCAATAACTTGTACAACTTCTAGTCAAATCTTTTTTCCTCAATTTCTAAATTTTTTGCGCATCGGTATCTTTAAAAGAAGTCAATGTCAGATAAAAACACTACTACTTCATAAAACATTTATCTTATTCTTTCTGGGCTAAAATACTGTTTTGGTGATATATGGGAAAAATTTTAAAATTCTAATATTTTCCCAAGTGTGTGTTAAAATTAGAACACTTTCGCATAACACTACTTGATAAGACACTATTATTTAGCCAGTTTATCTTTCGTACTTGTACTTTGCACCTTTTTCTA